TTTTATAGATGAAGTAGTTGGGGAAAAAGGTATAAATATTCTTCTGACTCTAGAAACATAGGAGGGAATCTCAAAAAAATCCATGGGATTAAAGTACAAGTTTATCTTGGTGCAAACAAACCCCTGAAATCCAAGCCTAGTTTTTTCCATAATACACATTTTCTGTGACCTTTCTGAAGATCCCTAGTATTTGCAAACCCCAGAATAGCTGTCCAGCTTTCTATTTCTGTCATGCCAATGATTCAGTTTACAATTCTGACAATTGTTTCTAATTTGACAGGTAAAATTGGAACTTGGTTTTGCACTGACTTTATATCTTGGAGACACCTCTGGTTTTCCAAAATGTGCCCCATCTTCACAACTACTTTGTGAATGAGAATATTCTGGGAAGGGTCACGTGTGGTCTAAGCAGTGAGGCCTGTGGGAGACACAGATGGAGTCTGGTCTTGTCCCGGGTGGTGCATGTGGCTCTCCACATGGCCTCACATCTTGGACATGAGAAGTTGAGGCCAAAGGAAAGCAAGGAGATGGCCAAGGTCCATGGGGACCGGAGTCTGACTGAGGGGCAGCCGTGTCCTTTTGGTGTCCTCACCAGGGTCCCTCAGCAAATCTTTCAAGGGCCATCTCTACCGAGTTACTCATCTGTGACCGCAAGTGTCTAATGGCTCCTTCTTTTTTTTGTCTTTTTTTAGGAACAACAGCAACAACCAAAATCTGAAAAATAAACCATGAAGCTTGGTGAAAAGAACCCCACAGAAAACAAAGAAAGCCGTTTGGAGAGAAAAAAAGTGGTCAGTCTTAATTTCTTTATCTTCCCCTTATATGAATATTCTGCTGACGGGGCAGTCCCTCCTTGCCCCTCCCTGTCCTCCTCCCAGAAGGAATGGCATAGAGCTGAGACCAGGCAGAGTAGGGTAGGGGTGAGGCTGGGCTAGCAGCGCTGGCTAGAAGCAAAGCGATATGGGAAGAAGTGTGAACTGTGGAGTGCATGGGGAAAGGCTCAGGAGACGGATGATCCTGCTAGGACGGAGCTGCTGGTGATTCTCCGAACTTGAGATGGGGAGGTCTCCATTCCCAAGGTCATTTCTCAATGAGGGGACATGAGGTTGCTGATGATTATGCCATCATCTTTAAGGGTACGCTGAAACCCATCCCCTACTTCTCCACAAGGCTTATTTCACCTGCCCCTTCTTCCAGGAAGTTCTCAGCAGCTAGAACTCTACCTTCTCCGGACTCTGCAGATGTTCTTTTTAAACTGGATTCAGAACCAACAGCCAGAGAGGGCCTGCACCATGCTGGGTTTTCACACTGCTCTCCCATGTAGTTCCCTTGGTCACATCACGCTGCAGGTATCACTAGCTCCCTTTTAGGTGAGGAACTGAGACTCAGAAAGGGTCAGAAGCCATGTGGCTAGAACAACATGGAGCAGTCTCCAACACTGGCTCATCTGTGCCTCATCTCCTGTGATAACGTGGAAGAAAATATGTCCGTACTTGTCATAAACCTGTATTTGACAGGACAAAGACCAACATAAGCCTATTTGTCAAATTGCCAAGCAGGTGTGAGACTGGCACTCTGAACATCGTTGTCCTCACACAGGTGTGAAATGGAGGTTCAGGGAGGAGAAGCCACCTGCTTCCGGTCACCTAGGGACATGGAGGACTCATATTAAATAGACAGCAATTCCCTCTAAGTGGACACTACATCTTTCCTCAGTGCTTACATTAGGTGAGTCAAGGGTTTCTGTCTAGGTATTTGGTGTAATGAAGGGAAAGATGCAGTCATCTAGAATATTCTGCTTAAATGATATTCAATAGGAAACCTCACTTTCCCCCCAGTCTTTCTCTGCTAGGAAATGTTTACCTTGCCCAAATCAACTTTCCCCCTTAGGAAATCATCCAAAGGACAGTTTGAGTCCAGTTCCAGAACTGTCTGTTAAGCCCTTGGCTCAGCCAGGCAAGAAGGCCTTAGATGCACAAAGACCCTCAGGGCATGTATGGATTTGCTAGGACCACAGGACACAGCACCACAGGCGGGCAGCTTAAACAATAGAAATTTATTGTCTCGCACTTTGAGGAGTCAGAAGTTTGCAATCAAGCTATTGGCAGTGTGGTCCCTTCAGAGGCTTCTCTCTTGGCTGTAGCTGGCTCTCTCTCTCTCCTGTGTCTTCACATGGCATCTCTGTATGTATTTATGTTCTAGTCTCCTCTTCATACCAGTCATATTGGATTAGGGCCTAGCCAAGCAACCTCATTTTGCTTTATCACCCCTCCAAAAGTTCTGTCTCCAAGTATAATCACATTCTGAGGTACTGGGGATTTGAACTTCAACATATAAGTCTAGGGAGAGGACCAGCCAGTGGTGTGGTGGTTAAAGAAGCTTGATCCCCCATGACCAAATGCACTATTTGAGTCTTGAACCCAATGGCTTGAAAAACTTGCTGGGCATACGTGTGTGTGTGTCCAATATCCTGAAAGGAGACCAGATTGTGATATGGCTATCCCCCATGGAGGAGGGGTGCTTTCTTATATTTTCTCTCTCTTTCTCTCTCCCGGGCAAGCTTATGCAGTCTACGGCAAAATTAAAAAGAAAAAAATTCTAGGGGCCAGCAGATGGTATAGTGGTAATGACTCTGAACTCCCACATGGCCAACTACAGTTTGAGTCCCGGACCCAGTGGCTTGAAATTCATGCTGGGTGCATGTGAGTGCATGCCCAAAATTCCAGAAGGAGAAGGGATTACAGTTTGACTATCTCTTCTGGGGGCTGATTTCTCACTTTCCCTCTCTCTGTCTCTGTCTCTCTCTCTCCAGCAAGTGCATGTGCCCTAACGCAAAAACTTCTTAAAAATTTTAAATAGACTCACAGCCCCTGCCCGCATGAGCCCCAGAGGCACAGAGTGAGCCAGCAGCTGGAAACCAGCAGGGCAGCAAAGGGTCATAGGAGGCTTTTGGGAGGAGGTGGTGAAGGCGCTGAGTCTTTTTTTTTTTTTGGAGAGATTTTCGCTATAGAGCACGTGCGCTCGCCAGACAGACAGAGAGAGACATAGAGACAGAAAGCGAGAAATCACCCCCCAGAGGGGATGGTCACGCCACAATCCCTTCTCCTCCATTCTCCTCTCAGGATCTTGGGCACGCATGCACACGCGCCCGGCATGAGTTTTAAGCCACTGGATCCGGGACACGAACCGCGGTTGACTACGTGGGAGTCCAGTGACATAGCCATTACGCTAACTGCTGAGTCTTGAGAGATAAGCAACATTAGGGTTAGTAGAAAGGAATGGCCTGAGCAAAGCCTGGGAGAACCCACAGAAATAGCAGCCTCATGACTGCTGGTGAATGGGTGTGTCGTAAGCAGGATGAATGTGCTCCAGCCCCAGAGCCCTGGGGCTGTTTTTGACCACAGCCATGAAAGGGATGAGTTTTCTTAAGATCTGCCCAAGAGCACTAGGCCTCAGCCCACAAGCAATGAGGAATGGCACTGGATCTGGAGGCAGGCTCTTCCATGCGCTCCCAGACTTCAGTCCTTCTCCCACCATGTAGGAGTAGCAGCTCCTCCACGGGCTGGTGAGGGCCTGGATAATCCCGTGGATGTGAATACACTTGGGGAAGCGGTGTAGAAGCGTACTAGAGACGAGGGCCAGGAGGGCTCTGGGTAATGGGAGCCCGGGTTAGCTGCCATCTAATTACCCCTTATTTTACACTACGCTATGCCCTGGTTGTATATTGTGTTGATTGCCTGGCTCCTGGCGCCTTTTTAGTTTTCAATCCCAATGGAGAATCATGCAACCATTTACAATAGGAGGAGGGGTTCCTTGATCTAATTTGAGTTTTAGCAAGATCTAGCAAGACCCGTGTTACAGATGAAGTAGCAGGTCCAGGGGACACACAGAAAGGAAGTCATGGTCATGGATAAGGAAGTGGAAATGAGATGGTGACTATAAAGTTCCCATGGGATGGCAAGGGAGGGGCCAGCCCTCAGTGCACAGGGAGATGGCTGTCCCTGCCCCTCCTTTACTTTAGTACCCAACCATGCTCAAACATTTTGCTTCCCCCTGTACACAGGAATCATGCCTGCAGACCTTGGTGCCACGCCCTGCACCCCCACCCTTCTCTCCCTGCATATTCCCCGGTGTACCCACTGACAAGTGTCTACTCAAGAACACCTGCTCCAAAGTCTCTGCTATCCAATTGAGATTGGTGCAGTGCCTCCTCCATTCATGAGGTTGGGACCAGAATATTTTTCTGCAGTAAGAGGAGCTTGAACTGAATGGGGGTTCGCTAATGGAGCAGACTCACATTTTGGACAAAATACCTACTTCCAGTTACCTTTTTTCTTTAAAGTCAACCTCTGCCTTTGCAAGTCATGCTGCAGTTGGCTGTTTCCATGTAAGCATTGGCCCTAGTCAGAGTTCAGAGAGAGAAACAAGCCGAGTGACTGACAACCAATTCAAGAAAGAGCCAGTTCTCCCAGAGGCACCCCTGACTGGATGAATATGCAGAGTGATTAATACATTGGATGATTCATGTGCTCCATTCATCCCTAGCTTGACTATTGAGGATTGGCTTTTCTTTTTGGAATGTTTGATGCCCTGTTTGCATTGAGCAGCCACTTTCCTACTGCTGTGCTTGGTGGGGCTGGATGTTCTCATGTGCATTTGACATTCCAGCCTCTCAGCTCAGCTGCAGTGTTCCAGGTGTTTCATTGCAAGGTGTGCTTTCCATTCAATGCAGGTTGCTGGCTTCTCTGTCTCGCTTGTGGACGTGAGCTTTGCTCTAGCCTTCTAGGTGCTCTGCATTCCCCTAGTGTGCCCTCCAGGTATGCTGGCCTTGCAAAGAGAGAAAAATAAAAAGACACCAAAGGAAAAATAAACATACTCTGGGTTGTAATTCTTTAGAGGGTAGATTTCCCTTTTAGAACTCTTGGATACAGGGGGAAAAAAATGTTGGCCCATTTCCTGTTCAGGCACGATCAAATTGCCACATTTCCTGTTGGGGCGCTCCGCCCTCCTGCCTGTGGACTCTGCCTCCTCCTTCACGGAGATGTCCTGCAGAATCCAGCTCCCGGGGCCGAGTCATCAGCGTGGCCACCAGTGCCTGTGGTAGGAAGCAAAGCATGGACTCCCAGGATCTGAGCTCCACTCTCCTTACCCCTGTTGCCCGCTGCCCTGGGCCTGTGGGGTCAAGGGAGAAGTCGCCTGAGTGCCACCACCTGAGAACCGGAGTGCCGGGTGGGAGGAGGAAAAAGGTAAACAAGGAAACCAGCCTCCGCGTGGCTGGAGGGCTGTGGGGGGTGCAAGCGTGGGTGGCAGCCAGGGGAAGGCGTTTGGCCCCAGCTAAGCTGCTGTTGTGACTGAACGGCCTCGGGCTTAGCATCAGGGAAGCCTGAATTTGATGAAGCCTCTTCATCCATATGACCTTAGCATGGTCCGCTTGCTGGACCAAAGGCATCTCTGAAGCATGGCTGTGCACGTAGAGTGAGGTCGTGATGGAGAACAGCCTCACACTTCTGGCTGCATCCCTGTCCACTCCTCCCCAGACCTGGCACAGGCAGTGGGGCTCCCTGTCAGCAGCACCTTCTACCCCTGGAACCAGTGGGGAGGATGTAACCAGCCCAGGTGAGCCAACGAAGGGGAGAGCAGCTGAGGCAGAAGAGAGCTCCCACCTGCCCTTCACCCACAGCAATGCCCCTCGCACGAGGAGCTCCATTCTGATGGGGTACAACCGAGGGAAGCGCCTTTGGTCTCTAGGATGATTACCGTGAGAAGGGAGGCACAGGGCCCAAAAGAGATGCCCGGTACAGCCAGGTGGCTCAGGGAAAGCGGCATTCAAGCCGAGACTCAGAAGTTGAGTTTAAAGAAGAAAGGTGATGGAAAATGGGTATTTTGTCCAAAATGTGAGTCTGCTCCATTAGTGAATCTCATTCAGTTCAAGCTCCTCTTCTCGCAGAAAAATATTCTGGTCCCATGCATCACTTGGCAATGCCCGTCCCCATCTTATAACCCCCTCTCTCACTCGGATCACCAGAGTCACTGGGACCTCCTTTGTAGCGGGCTTAGTGCTCAGAATTGAAAAGCAAGAAAAAAGGCCCCTGTTCCCAAAAAGTAAGGTCCTGCCCCTGTATGCGCTCTGCCGTGGACACTCACACCGACCACATCCAGACTCTCTTCTGAGTACTTTACCGGCTATGACTCCCTTCTTGTACGTAACAACACATGGCTGGGTGCTATGATCATGCCCGTTTTAAAGATGAGGAAACCCAGTCACGAGTGGCCATTGTAATCAGCCAAAGGTGACACAGTCGTAAGTGCAGGGTGAGGTGTGGGAAGCAGGAGGGTCAGACAAGGTTGAATCAGAGGGATACATACACAGATGAAAAGGCAAGGCTTTCAGGGAGGCTTTACAGAGGAGGAGACGCTGGTGGGCGGTTTCAGATACAAGGGTCTCTAGAAGGGAGGACTTCCGGCAGGTGGAGGAGAGACCGTGGCATTCTTACTTGTGCAATGAAAAGAGTGGAGAGAGAGAAACAAAGAGTATGTCCACATCCAGCATCAGGTTGGCTCCTTGACAACCGATGGGATCGACACCACTGGTAAAGCTGGATTCTACAGGTGGGCAAGTAATGGTGGAGACTCCCACAGCTGAGTGGTCGCATCATCCAGACCTGGAGACAGCCCGGATTGGACTGATTCAGGTCCCTGAACTGTGGACTTCATCTGCTGGTTCACTCCTGTAACCCCAGGACCTTGTAAACAGAACTTAGAAAAACACACACACACACAGAGTAGATGATGGCAGAGAAAGCGCCTTCCAGAGCACCTAGGCCCCTGGAGCCCATCCTCCCGGCCTCAGTTCCCTGGGCACGGGCAGCTGGCCAGCCTTCACCAAGGGGCCCAGATGTTTCTGCTCCAGCCCTGTGCCATCTTTGGATGGGTCCACTGGGCAGGTGGCTTGTTCTCAGTGCCATGCCCCGTGTCGCTCAGTCTTAGATGCGTGCATAGATGCGTCTCAGCCTGAACGGTGCATGTGTGTGCTGTGTGCAGGTGCATGTATGCGCGCATCCCTGTGGTTCTCGGCAGCCTCAGGCCCCAGGACACAGCATGCAGCAAAGGGTCTGCAGGAAAGGGCAGCATGGGGCAGCAGTGACTACCAGGACCCTGCAGCCAAACCTGGGCTCCAGGACAGCACCAGGGACAGCTCTGTGCCCATCTCTGCCTGAACAGTAGGTGAAAACAACCCATCTAAAGACTCAGTGACCTAACGCCCAGAAAGGGCTCAGGGTAGTGCTGACAGGGGCCAGTAGGTGCTGTACTGATTAAGGCACTGGACCCTCCCACGTGGCTGACTGCAGGAGGAGTCCGAGACCTGGCAGCTTGCTTTGTCATTCTCTCTCTCTCTCTCTCTTTCTCTCCCTCCCTCCCTCTCTCTCTTTCTCTGTCTCACTCTGGTGAGTTCATGTGCCCTGTAGCAAGTTAAAAAATAATTCCCAATGAAAGTTAAATAAATATATATATATTTTTAAAAAAGAATAGTGCCTGACAGGTAGCACTTAACAGTGCCAGCTCCAGCTGCAGACAGCTTAGTCTGCCTCACCTTCACGTTCCTGTCTTGTCCAGACACGGGCCAGATGCAGCTAAAATAACACGAGCAGTTGCTTATAGGACATCTGCTAAAGAAGCTCGGGTGTGTTTCAGGATCGTCGTGGAACCTGAGAAAGGGGCGAGGGTGTGGCCGCTGGGTCTATGCACAAGAACCTGGCCTGGAATCCTGCCTGCGGACTCCCAGCTTGCATCCTAGCCTCCAGCTTCCATCTGACTACTGAGGATGAATTCCCTCTGGGACCATCCAGGCCGGGTCCTTTGCGCCCTGGCTGTGAGCCTGAGTGCCACCTCTGACACGCTTTTCTCTCCCTTCCCAGGAATGGTCCTGCTCGCTCCTTGTGGCCTCTTTCGTGGGCGCCTTTGGCTCCTCCTTCCTGTACGGGTACAACCTGTCGGTCGTGAACGCCCCCACCCCGGTGAGTGCCTGCGGCCAGGCATCTTCCCACCAGATGGCGCTGCAGCCATGCGGAAACCGAGGTCGTCCGGGGGTCCCTGGGCAGTGCTCTATCCTGCAGGCTCCCCGGACCCTGGGCTGGACGCTGGTGGGGTGGGGCCGGAGCGGAGAGACGAGGCGGGAGATAAAGAAACAGACTTGATTACAACGTGTGTGTGCGCGCGCGTTTGTGTGTGTGAGTTCCTTGTGGCTGGAATGCGAGTTTCCAGGACAATGTGAGGAGATGAGAGGGAGCTTGGGCGTGCCAGGGGATGGAGGATCCAGAGGGCCCCTAATGCCAGGGAAAGGAGTGAGAGGGGGCCTTCTGCATAGAAACTGTGTTGGGGGAGGGCGTCAAAGCTCATGAGACTGCATGTTATGGAAAACCTATACATGGACTTCAATTTCCAGGGGTACCAGAACAAACTGGTATTTAATCCCATTTTCCGTGAACTCAGTGAAGTTTCCTGGCATGGTTTGTTGATTGTTGTTTCTCTTGACCTCTCATTACAAGGTCACTCAGGTACCTGTTGGAAGAGACCCTTCTTTGGCTTTTGTTGTAGTCTAATCCGAGCAGCTGCAGCTCCCCCAGGCCCCCATCATATTACCTACACTGCTACTTCCTTCCTGGGTGCTCCACCCTCAGGGTCAGGGCAGGATAGAGATGTGAGGGAAATTTCCTGGAGGAGGTGATGTCTGACCCAGGTCCTAAAGGTGGAAGGAGGTCACACAGGCCTAAGAAATCCGGATCGTTTGGAGACACGTAGGCAGCCCCAGGTAGCTGGAGCACAGGATGTGCTTGGAGGAGTGAGGGCAGATAGAGCTAGGCTGTAGACAGATCTGGGTACCGCCAGGCTTGTCTGGGGCCCAGCATCCCTTACAGAACACAGGGGCAGTCTGGGCTCGCAGATCTCAAAGGGTTCCCAGGATTCCCGGGATTTTGCAGATGTGGCTCAGACACCTGGACTCTTTGTCCAGGGTAGCTTTGCTTTTATAATTCTGTAAAGTTTTTGGAACAAGCAGATGGCATAATGTTTATATCACTGGACTCCCACGTAGTTGACCATGGTTCAAGTCCCAGACCTGGTGGCATAAAACTCACACTGGGTGCGTGTGCATGCATGCCCAAGATCTTGAGAGGAGAATGGAGGAGAAGGGATTGCGGTGTGGCCATCCCCCCTGGAGGAGTGGGTGATTTCTCATTTTCTGTCTCTCTGTCTCTCTGGTGTGCCCTCTGGCAAAAATCTCTTTAAAAATATTCCGTTAATTTTTCAACATTTTGGAGTTTTGTGTGAGTTTATTTGGAAAATTCATTCCAATGCTAAAAATAGGATGAAGGTCCAGGCGCCGAGGTGACTTCTATAGTCACTTGCTGCCATTGATGATGTTTGATTTTTGTCATTGTAATAGCATCTCAAGATAGGGATCTGGCCTGTCCACACTTGTCTTCAAAAGAGGACTTGGACTTTGCTCTCTGGCTCCACCCTGGAAGTGTAGACAACCCTCTCACTAAGACAGCAGAGAACCTTTGCATTCCTGGCTGTGGAGCAGAGACATGTGAAGCTTGATCTGGAATAGAATGACACAAGTTCAACCAATGACTGTGGAAAATGGGGAAGGAGCAATTCTGTCATTCATTCAGCCTACGAATATTGGGCTGTTGGAAAAGCCATGCGTATTTTTCTGTTTTCCTATGCAAAAATGCATCACGACTTTTCAGACAACTCAATACTTATTGAGTGCCTACCACATATCCAACACTGGGAATCAGGGAAGGCAACCTGGAGGAGGTACCACTGGAGCAGAGCCAGGAAGGATGGGTAGGATTTCTCTAAGTATCAGAGGGAGGGGCAGGGTACTAAAGCACACACGAAGGCCTGGCTCTGCCAGATGGTGGGATGTAGGGGTGTGATGTGCCAATGCCCGGGGGTGGGGGGGTGGGGAGATGGGATGGAAGTAGAGGTAGAAAAGCAGGGTGGAGTTAGAAGAAGAGGGACTTAGAGCTTAAATTTAAGAGAGGGACTTTAGTCTATGAGTTTAGGGAGTCACATCAGGTTTATAAATTCAGGGAGTGGTGTGTGGGTCCAACTCACCATATTTTAGAAAAACAGCTTTGGTAGCAGAGGGAAGGACAGGAAAGGCCAGAGCTTGCAGGTATCTGGTGGGCTAGACGATGTGAAGTCAGTGGAGGAGAGGGGTCGCTAAGGACCACACAGTCAAGTGGCCTTCACATTTCTTACACGAATAACCCATCTTAGCACAGCCTCGGTAACAGCACTCATAAGCAGAGCATGTGTGATGTGCCAGTCCTTCCTCGAGCGCTTTTCATGCATTAATTAGTTCAGTGCATCCTCACGACAACCCTGTGAGGTATTAGCACCATTATCCCCATTTTACAGATGGGGAGACACTGACTTGCCCACCATCACACAATAAGTGGAGTCCGAGTTTGACCCTGGGCAGGGTTCTGATTCCTGATCATCAGACTCATTTTTTGTCATTTTAAATCAGGGCCTTTCAGTTTTATGTCCTGAGATCTCTCATGTGGGATATTATAGCTCTCTTCTTTGGGCCAGTGTGCCCAGCAAGGTGTTTAGTCTTTGTGACAGTATCTTGGTGTCCTCGGGGTTTGGCAACCATGGCTCATTAAAAGCCCAGGGCTCTCAGCTGGGCCCAGCCTGCCGAGGTATAGGGAGCTGGGAAGTGCCATTCCTGATGGGCAGCTGCTTCCCAGGGCCTGCTCTCCACCCCTGAAGGGAGACTCACTCCATGATCCCTGGCCAGCTGACGCTGCCACAAGGCTGCCTACCAGGCATGCCTCCTTCTCACAGAAATCCTGAGAACTTGGTGCCGTAGTCAGCTCGGGCCGCCGTGACAGAATACCACAGACCAGGTGCCTTTAGCAGACATTTATCTTCCCATACTTCTGGAAGCTGGAAATCCAAAATCAAAGTGCCAGCTGGTTCGGTATATGGGAGGGCCTGCTATCTGGGTTGCGATGGCTGCCACTGTGTCCCCACGTGGTTGAGAGAGGGAGGGTGAGCGTACTCTCTCATGTCCCCAGGTGGTTGAGAGAGAGAGTGAACGTGGTTGAGAGAGGGAGGGTGAGCGTACTCTCTGGTGTCCCCCCGTGGTTGAGAGAGAGAGAGTGAATGTGCTCTCTCGTGTTCCCGTGTGGTTGAGCGAGAGGGTGAGCATACTCTCTCGTGTTCCCATGTGGTTGAGAGAGAGGGTGAGCGTACTCTCTGGTGTCCCCCATGGTTGAGAGAGAGAGGGTGAATGTGCTCTCTCGTGTTCCCGTGTGGTTGAGAGAGAGAGTGAATGTACTCTCTGGTGTCCCCCCGTGGTTGAGAGAGAGAGGATGAGCGTATTCTCTGGTGTCCTATATATGGGCATGAACTTCATGATGAGGCCTCCCCCATGGCCTCACCTAACCCGAACTACCTCCCCAAAAACCTGTCTCCAGATACCATCGCATGGAGGGTAAGGCTTTGGCGCATGAATTTTGGGGGTGAAACTGTTCAACCCTTCGTGGCTAGTTATTGATGGTATGCCCATTTCATGGGTCAGGAAACAGGCTCAAGTTTAAGCACCTTGTCCAAAATCACACAGCTGGGAGTGGCAGTGCTGGGTTTAAACCTAGAACCCAGGACCATCGCTTTTCCACACGGAGCCCTAAAGTCCAGTGATGGGAAGACTTGATATGGTTAACCAAGGCAGAGGATGAGGGTAGGGAGACTCGCTGGGTCACAACAGGCGGCGGGCTGTCCACCCGCTGCTCCCTCCCCCAGTGGTTGTTCTGGGTTCTACTTAGAACTACTCTGAGGGCTCCAGGACCACTTAGATGACATTGAGATGGTTTTCCAGCCAGGGCCTAGGATTGCCTGGATCCTGCCCTTAACCCTCCTTCCCATGGGCAATCACCAGAGAAATGGTGCATGTAAAAACACAACCCAACAAAGAAACAGAAGTGGCTTTACTATTAGCTAAACCAGCACCCCAGGTCTTCCACTCCCCATCACCCCCTTTTGCTCTGTCTAAAGGCTCTAATGTTTGATGCTTTGCTCGTGCTGTTTCATGGAAATTGAGAGGGGCAGATATTCAGTCAGTCGTCCAGCAGCCTCCCCTGGGCGTTGACCTTATGGTGTCATGTGGTCAGGTGTCAGGGTGGAAAGGTGCACAGGACACACATCCATGTCCTTGGGGGTCCCCAGACCAGCAGTGGTGATGGACCTCCAAGAGCTAATTAGCAGACAGTGAGAGACGAGCGCGGGAGCCATGAGCAAACGCTGCGGAAGGACAGTGTCCTAGCCAAGGACGTCAGAGGAGGCTCACTGGGGCTTGAGAGAGCACAGGTTTCAGGAATGGTGAAGACTCAGGGGTCGCTGGGGTTGGGGTTCTCAGGGGAGAGGTGAGGTAGAGGCTGGAAAGGGGAGCTGGGGCCAGCTCTGAAGTCACAAAGGCCAGGACGAGAGCACCCTCCAAGGAAGGAGCCCCCTCCACTGCAGCCAGGCAGCTCCCCACATAGATGCCCCTGCAGGCCAGCAGTGAAACTCCTTGTGAAACAGCTCTGAGAGTGAAAAGAGAGGTGATGCTTGAGGAACTCGGCCAGCATCAGAGTCCCTCTGATTCTCTCTTCTCCGTGCAGTGGGCGAAGAAGCCCAGGATCAGGGAGACCAGGAACAGAGCCGGGCTCCACAGCATGGGACCCAACACAGGCTGGAAGGCCTACATCTGGTGAGGACTGGGGCGTCAGAGCTGACTTCACTTGGGTGCTGGGGTTTCTCAAAGGAGACAGGAACCCTGGGCGTGGAAGTGATACAGATGGGTTGAGGAGTGTTTGTTCACAGAAATGGTCAGAAGCAGCTTCTAGAATCAAGTTCCAGCATGGACACTCCCCCGCCAGGAGAGGCACCAGCTTCAGCCCGATGCTCTCAAGGCCCTGCCCAGCCAGCCGCAGTGTGAGCTAGCTCTAGGTGGTGG